GCTTAGAATGTGCTAACTTCATGCCCTGGTGCTTTGCTCTGGATCAGTGACGTGGACAGTGCACGTGGGTCGCCGTGGGAAGGCAGGCGAGGCACGTGTGCGATGAGCAGACCCACTACTGGGACGTGCCTGCCCTGGGAGCTCAGGCTATAGGCTCAGGGCGACCCTGTCCATCGGAGTTTCCTTCTCACCCTGCGAAGGGGTTCTGACCTCATGGCGAAGTGTGTTCCTTGTTACAGGATTCAGTGTACTTGTGAACTGCAAGCATGTGGTATCGATGAACAGATAGCACTGGCCTATAATTTGTTCTGCTTTTGGTAAAAACAAAAACAAAAAAAACCCCCTCACTGTTTCATTAAAAGAAGTCTAAGCAGAAGACAAAGACCTAATTTGCTACCTTTTTTCTTAGCGATGGGCTATGGAGCTTCTGTCTCCCCCAAAAGATGGATTGAGCCCTAACCTCCCGGCCCTCAGTGTGACTCCATGTGCAGACCGGAGCTTTAGGAAATAACCAGTGGAAGTGAGGCCATTAGGGTGGGTCCTACGATGATGTCTGGTGTCCTCATAGAAGGGGGACTGGGACACAGAGCTGGGAAGATAAAGACAGACACGGGTGATACTTGTGCAAGCTGAGGAGCACGAAGACACCAGAGACCCCGGGGCTGGGAGTCCTGGACCAGACGGTCCCTCCGCCTCAGAAAGGCCACGGGCCCCACCCGCCCGTGGCTGCCAGCCCCCAGGCTGACACAGTCCTGTGGCTCAGAAACCCACAGTGCCCCTCAGGGGGCAGAGTCTCAGCGAACCATGACCTCACCGGACAGTGACCCCTGAGGCCCGCACACCTCGGACAGGGTTTCAGGAAATCATGACTCAGCAGGTGGTGACCAATGAGGCCTGCATGCCCTCTGTCCCTCACACACGTGTTCCCGTCACAGCAGCTGTCAGTCCTGGAAGGCCCGTGTCCCCACCTTTACAAATCCATCCTCAGCTGCCATCATATAGGTCCCCCTCCCCCCACCCTCGGGACGGGAGGATGATGAGCAGAATGATAACCACCTGAGAGCCATTACCCCAATAACTTCACAAACACTGGACTCACAGCCTTATTTTGTTTATTTTAACCCTCACCCGAGGATATTTTTCCATTGCTTTTTAGAGAGAGTGAAAGAGAGAGGGAAAGACAGAGAGAAACATCAAAGTGAGAAAAACATAATTTGGCTGCCCCCTGCACGCACCCAACCAGGGCCCAAGTTGGAGGAGAGCCTGCAGCCAAGGTACATGCCCTTGACTGGAATCGAACCCGGGACTCCTCAGTCCGTAGGCCAAAGCTCTATCCACTGAGCCAAACTGACTAGGGCCACAGCCTTATCTTTACCCTGTGTTTTAAATTACCCTAAAATAGAACAAATGGACCATGGAAGCATCCTCGTGCTGTCAGAAACCGGAAGAAGGGCACTCATCTTCCCCGAAGCTGGCCCGTCGTGTCCCGAAGCTCCGCCCCTCACCCGTCGTCCGCGGGGATCGTGGGCGCCTCTTAGTCCCGCGTCAGGAAAGAGCTCGTTCTGGACCGGGTGCCTCCAGTGTCCACGTGGGTGCGGCCCCTCTGGTCTCCTGCCCTCTGCCTCCAAGACCTGCCTCAGCATCCGTCTTCCTTCTGGAAGGTTCTCCCACCTCAATCTCCATCACGCCAGGCTTGGCCTTGCTCTCCACAGCTCACACTTCATAAACGGTGGATATAAAGACGGCGGACATCGCGAAGTCTTCTCCAGTTTGTGCTGGCGATCCTCATGGTCAACGCAGCGAAGGCAGCCCGGATGGCCGTGCACCCGCCCTCAGCTCCAGTGCCAACTCCTCCAGCAGGTTCCCCCTCAGCCTCGAGCCCTGCTGACCCTCCAGGCTGAGCTCCGGGCTGAGCCCCCAGGCTGCTCCCCGCCCCTGCAAGCTGAGCCCTCCCCCAGGCCCACTGAGCCCCCAGGCTGCTCCCCCACCCCCACAAGCTGAGTCCTCCCCCAGGCCCCACTGAGCCCCCAGGCTGAGCCCCCAGCTGGGCCCCTGTTGGGCACATGCCAGGAGGAGAGATGGCAGGCATTCTCACTCTCCACATGGAGAAAACGGACCAGTTTTACTTCAATGATTTTCCTAATTTGGGTCAGATGCCCTTTCCTGCTCAGGACTGAAGTGGACCCCTGGTGCTGGGAGAAGGGAGACCTGCTGGGCGGTGAATGGGAGATGCCAAGAACCATGCTGTGAAGTGCAGACTCCGCTCGGGGCGGGAAGACAAGGCGGCTCTGGCCCCTGCTGCCCGCTTCAGCACCGAAGGGATGGAGAGGAGGGCAGTGTGTGTGCCGAACAGACGGTGGCTGCCGCCTCTGCGCGCTGGGAGGGTGCCAGGGACACAGAGCCCCGCCCCAGCTCTGCTCCCAGTGGCTCTGAGTCCCTGTATTCTTCCGGATTCTTCCAGACTGCGCCAGAGAGGTTCCTTCCCGAACCCTGCCCACTGCACTAGCTGTTGGGAACTCAGTCCAAGTTCCTCCTTTATCCCCTGCTCACTAGTGAAGGTGTCGGGTCCGAGCCTGTCTGCCTGGAACTGGACCTCTTAGGACCGGGTCTGAGACGGAGAAGCCAGGAGAGTCTTTAGTGCAGAAGCCGGTGGCCATAAGCCATCAGACACAGCTCTTCACAGGAAGGCCCACGCAGGCAGCCGCACACCGGCTGGTGGATACTGTCCTTCCCACACGGCAGCGGCAGTTCCTGCGCCCACAGCCGTTACCGGAGCAGCCGCACGCTGCCCTGGACCACCGCCTCACATCGCAGCGGCACCTGAGCTTGGCCTCAGCAGCTTTCCTGTCCCTGTGTCTCCGGCAGCTGCATCCTCTGTGCCTGCTGCCTCAGCCACACTCCCCTGCCCAGCACGCTGGCTGGGTAACCTGGCAGCTATAGCTGAGCTCTCTGTGAGCTCTTAGCCTGACATCGTAGCAGTCCCAGCTCTCAGCTCCTCAGCTCTCTGGCCATTTCCCTAGCCCAGTCGCTGGCTGACAACATGCTTTATACTCCTAGACAAGCAGGCCTCGTGCCAATAATGACATCAATCGTTTGGCGATAGAGGGCACAGCGTACCGTGAGATCGCTGTGGCCTTGCAGCTGGGTGGTCCTTGATTAAGAGTCCCATGTTCAGCTGAGACCGGTTTGGCTCAATGGATAGAGCGTCGGCTTGGGGACTGAAGGGACCCAGGTTCGATTCCAGTCAAGGGCATGTACCTTGGTTGTGGGCATCTCCCCAGTAGGGGGTATGCAAGAGGCAGCTGATCGATGACTCTCTCTCATCAATGTTTCTAACTCTCTATCTCTCTCCCTTCCTCTCTGTACAAAATCAATAAAATATATTAAAAAAAAAAAAGAGTCCCATGTTCAGAGTGGCCTTGGCTGTTTGGCCACTCTGAACATGGGACTCACTAACTTCTATTCATTTGCTTGCTCATTCATTCATTCATTCATTCTTTACTTAGCTTACAAGACACCAAGGATATGTCACACTTGGCAGTTTCCAAGGGAGATGAAGGAATGAAACACCCGTCACCACGCACGCAGGCTGTGCATTTACAGCTCGAAGAGGTGAGGGCGGGGGCCATGTAGGATGTGGAACCCCAAGGCTATCAGGTTCAGTCAGGCCCCCCAGGCAACAAGACAAGGTCCCAAAGAATGTGGATGGAGGAAATGAACACTTTTATGGACCGGACCTTCAAAAACAACAATCCAGAGGATGGAAAGCTGAAGACAGAGAAAAGACCTACACCGACAGGAAGGAAATTGAAATCTCCAGTAACAAATCTAGGCATCAAATAGCTTTTAAAAGAAATTCTAAAACTCCTAGAATTGGACTAGCGTTTCCACGACAACCAGTCCCCCAGGCTCCCGAAGGGGATGAAGTCAACAAGCCGGCCACCCCGTGCGTGCCGGGACCCTGCTCAGCTTCGCCCAGGGCTGTCGCTGAGCCACACGCAGGGCCTGTCTCCCGCATGGCGGGCTGCAGGCGCTCATGGGAATGGCCTCGGGAGAACGGTCAGGCGGTGGACTCTGCACCGTATTCGCCAGGACACACGTACCACACGTAAGCATTCCTAACGCCAGTCTTTTCCACGCTGAGCATCGGCCCTAGGGACACAAAGAAACCTCACCTCATCTAACATTAAAGAGCCCGAGTTAAATTTCAATCATGACCATGTTCAACGAAAAGAGAGAGGAAGGAAGAGCTAGCGTTAAGCTGCCACTAGCACAGTGGTCAGCAAACTCATTAGTCAACAGAGCCAAATACCAGCAGTACAACAGTTGAAATTTTTTTGAGAGCCGAAAGAAAACCGACGTCTGCGAAGTTTCACTCGCTCTGTACGTGCGTGTCCACACGTGTTTGGTGGAAGCGCCACCTCTCCTCGCAGCGGCACCCAAGGGGCCAAAGAGCTGCATGTGCCTCGCAAGCCGCGGTTTGCCAACCACTGCACTAGCGCCGAGGGCGAGATTTTAGGGAAATTTCTGGTGATGTTTTATGGAGACTCACCTATGAAGTTCTAAAAGCAGGGATTTTATATAATAAAGAGGTAGTTCAACTCTTCTCTAGAAGAATCCGAAGGCTGGCTGATAATGCCCATTTTATTTCAGTTAAGCAAGAAACTGCCAGTTGCTTTTGTTCTTGGGATAAAAATTGATGATGTGATCAAGAAAATGCAAAAAAAAGAGTTGCACAGCAGGGTAAGATAAATCTCTATAAAAATTCAACTTCTCACCACCACTCCAAGCAAATCCTATAAAATAGCCCCTAACAAGAGAGTCTTTATTTTCTGTGGAGGATTTTTTATACCTTTCCTCTCTCCTAGGTGGCAGTGTGACATAACGGTTCCCCAGGACCCACTCGTCCAAAGATCACTGAGAGTGAAGAGCCGAGGAAAAGCTTAGGAAGGAGTGAGACTGGGAGTCGGTCCCTCACAGACAGGAAAACGGATACTCACGGGCTCCAGGTTGTAGGAGAAAAGTGCATATTCCTTATCGGGAGACACCTCGTATCTGACGGCTCGCAGTGACTCCTAAAAGGAAAAGAACAAAGGCCATGAGGAACCCCTGTCAGCATCCAGGGGGATGCCCTGTTGGCTGCTGCCATCCTCAGAATTTGCTCCCCAAACCAATATGCAGCCGCTGGCTAACATCGGCTAAAATGGCTAGAACTTCCATTCACTGCATAACAGCCATTGAATTGATGTTTTTACCCCATTTAACTTGTCTTTTTTCAAATTTCAACAAAACCATACTTACTGTAACGACTGAAACAAATCAATGGAAATAAACATGAAAACAAATAACCTTCTCCCAAAGACTCCCAACCGTTCTCTCTCTTTAAACACACCTTCCTTTGTTCATTCTCACACTTCAAAGTGTATGGCAGGCAGATCTGCCCCCAGATCGAGTCTGCACACTGTTCTGCACCTGCCCCTTCACAGCACAGACCCTGGCCCACAGCCAGACACGCCACTACGATGTTCTCTTTTGTGCTCTGCATACTGCACAGGTGATTTTACATAAATAAATTATTCAGGATTGCTGCTTCCCTTCAGCTTACCCCCCCCTCGCCCCCACTGCTCTGCTGTGTTCACACTGCCCCACAGAAAGAGTCTGAGGCTCTCAGCCTGGTGTGTACCACTGGACGTGACCATATGGTCCATACAGATATCCACACACAGGCACATACATACATCCACACACAGGCATACACAGACACCCACACACAGACATCCACATACAGACATCCACACACAGACGTTCACACACGGGCAAACACAGACATCCACACACAAACAGACAGACATCCACACACAGACACACAGAGACATCCACACACAGAAATCCACACACAGGCAAACACAGACATCCACACACAGATATCCATATATGGGCACACACAGACATCCACACACAGATATCCATATATGGGCACACACAGACACCCACACACAGACATCCACACATGGGCACATACATACATCCACACACGGGCACACAAAGACATCCACATACATACAACCACACACAGGCACACAGACATCCACACACAGGCACACACAGGCATCCACACATAGACATCCACACACAGACGTCCACACACGGGCACATGCAGACATCCACATACAGGCACCCAGAGACATTCACACACAGGCACACACAGACATCCACACACAGATATAGACACACAGATATCCACACACAGACATCCACACATGGGCACACACAGACATCCACACACAGATATCCACACACAGACATCTACACACAGACATCCACACACAGATATCCATACACAGACATCCACACACGGGCACACACAGACATCCACACACAGCAACACACAGATATCCACACACAGACATCCACACACGGGCACACACAGATATCCACACACAGACATATACACACGGAAACACACAGACATCCACACATGGAAACACACAGAAATCCATACACGGGCACAGACAGACAACCACACACAGGCACACACAGACATCCACACACAGGCACACACAGACATCCACACAGACATCCACACACAGACATCCATATACAGGCACATGGATGCCTGTCTGGGCCCGTCTGTGTGTGCCTGAGTGTGGATGTCTGTGTGCGGATGTCTGTGTGTGGATGCCTGAGTGTGCCCGTGTGTGGATGTCTGTGTGCCTGTATGTGGATGTCTGTGTCTGGATGTCTGTGTGTGGATGCCTGTGTGCAGACATCCACACACAGACATCCGCACACAGGCATCCACATTCAGGCACACACAGACGGGCCCAGACAGGCATCCACACACGGGCACAGACAGATGTGCCACCTCAGCTGAATGGGACATTAATGCCACATCTTCCTCGAGTTTTGTTTCTCATGAAACAGTAACTTGAGGGAATAACTTTGAGGCCTTTTCCAGAAGCTTGAATCAGTGACCTTTAAGGCTTGCATAATATTGTCTGGTGCTGGTTGTATCTTAATTTTCCAGAGTCTCTACAGGAAATCCTTGTTTTCCTGGCAGTTATGCTCTATACAGTCTATAAAAATATTGAATTAGTGCATACTGTTGCTAAGGGTAGGTTCCTATGAGCCTCTGGTCATACTACTTTTGTCAACCAATCAATACATCAGCTTGTCTAATGCGTGTTTCTATTTAACAGCATATATTGAATATATATTGTTGATTTATTGACACGAACTCGTGGTGAACAGCACAGGAATGCATGCTAACTGGAGCCCATCCCACACATGTGTTATCCCTGTCAGGCACACACAGCCTTCTTACACCTCAGAACACGGGGCAGCACTAAGCATTATTCCCGGGAGCCAGTTTTAAACAGTGTTATCACCAACAACAACCCACAAAAATGTGAAAAACGTGGCACTGTGCAGACCACAAAAAGAGGACTTGTTTGTAGTGTGACAGCTGAAACCAGAGGCAGTGGGCCGCTCACATTTGCTGTCACTCTGCGCGTGGCTGAGGATGACTGCAGAAGTGCCGTGAGCATTCCTGTGGGGCGCACACACATTCTAGCAGCCAGAGGGATCGCACACTCACAGCCGTCAGTAATGACATGTTCCCAGGCTGCGGTGCTATACAGTCGCAATAAAGATCCTCACCCACACACATTTACAGTGTGTGTGCATGCCTGTGTTTACTTTTTAATAAGACAGGTATCTAGGGTAAGATTGCTGATATACTGTGTGGCCCATGAATCCTCTATGATTTTAAAGTTCTTTATTTTATCTTAATTTTTTAAAAAGTTACTTTTGATGCATATACAATTCCAGATTGACAGCGTTAAAGATGGCACTCCATTGTATTCTGGATTGCAGTGCCCAGTGAAGAGTCTGCTGTCTTTCTTATGTTTGCTTTTCCTTTGGCTGCCCTTAAAGTGTATTTTTCAAAATTTGGTAATAATATGCTTTGATGTGATTTTTTTTTTCTTTCATCTTGGTTGGAGTTTAGATCAAATTTGGTAAAAATCTAGTCATTATTTCTTTAAATGTTTGTTTTGTTTTATTTTTCCTCTTCCCTTTCTGGGGCTTTAATAACAAGTATATTAGTGTATTTTATATTGTCCACCAAGTCATTGAGGCTTGGGTCAAGTTTTTTCCCCTCTCTGTCTTTGTATTTTGGATAGTTTATATTGCTATTAATTAAAAGTGTTTTTTTTCCTTCCGTGATATCTAATATTAAACTTTTTAAAATGTTATATTTTATTTTTCACCTCTAAATATTTTACTTGGGTGTTTTACAGTCTTCAACTTCTTTTTTATTTGTGCTCATGATTTCCTTTATGTGATTAAGCACTTGGAACATGTGTATGTTAGCAGTTTTAATGTATTTTTTTTTCTAATACCATTATTTTAGTTATTTGTGGGTTTATGTCTATTGACTGATTTTTATCTTCATTATGGGTCACATTTCTCTTCTTTTTCATGAAAGGAGAGGGATAGAGAGATAGAAACATTGCTGAGAGAGAAACATCATTGATCAGCTGCCTCTTGCATGCCCCCTTCTGGGGACTGAGCCCACAATCCTGGGCATGTGCCCTGACTGGGAATCAAACCAGGGACCTCTTTGTTTCTGTGTTGATGCTTAACCACTGAGCAACACCAGCTGGGCTCTTTGTATGGATTTAAAAAAAACCAAACAACTAATGCCAGATATTTTTAATTTTCTCTTGTTGAATCTTGTTTTTTTTTTTGTTTTGTGTGTGTGTGTGTGTGTGTGTGTGTGTGTGTGTGTGTGTGTTCTTTCAAAGAATGCTGGCCTTTTTATGATAGGCAGTTAATTACTGGTGGATTAATTGGATTCTTTTGAAGTTTGTTCCTAAGATATTTTAAAGGCTGTTATAGCCATGATTGTAGAGCTAATTGAGCCTCACTTCTAAGGGGTGGCTCTTCTGCAGTCTCCGCTTCATGTCTCATCGCTCAGAGGAACGTCAATGGTTCTGGTGACTCCTGAGCCCTGGGCATCCTTCCCTTAGAGGGTCTGTCATTGCCCTTCACTTGGAACTGTACTTTGTCCTGCCTGTGTGCGCTCTCTCTCTCTCTCTCTCTCTCTCTCTCCCTGATGCACGGAATTCATGCAAGAGCAGGCCTTCCTCCCCCGGCTGCCAGCACTGGATTCCCTCTGGCACCGGGGATTCAGGCTCCCTCTTGCCACCAGCAGGCACCTGGGACCTGGGCTTCCCTCACAGCCCTGGCTTAGTCCAGAAGGATATCCAGTCTAATTAGCATATTATGCTTTTATAATTATAGATCCTCCTTTATAATTAAAGGCTAATATGCAAATAGACCAAACGGCAGAACAACTGAACAACCAGTCACTATGATACGTGATTATCACCAGGGGGCATACATAGAATATGTGGGTGTCTGCCATGGTGGGATGGTGGAGCAGGTGAGTGGGGGTGCCAGACTAAGGCGGGAGAATCGGGGTGAACCTCTGGTGGTTAGTGAAAATTCTTTGCTCCCACATGCCGCAGTCCCTCCTGGTGCCTGCACCTGTTGCTGGTACTGGCCCCACTCCCACCTGCTGCCGGCACCAGAGCCACTGCTTGCACCCACTGACAGTGCTAGCTCTGCTCTCATCTGCTGCTGGTGCCAGCCCCAATTGCTCCGTGCTGTCAGCAGGAGCAGCGGTGTTGGGAGCGAGGCTGCCAGCAGACAGGGGACCAGGGACCATGGCGGGAGGGGCCAGGCGGGAGCACGAAGGGCAGACCAAGACCCACCCCTGTGCCCACCGCAGCCTTGCGGCCCACAGTACTTTCCAAGGTGCATGAATTTGTGCACTGGGCCCATAACATACATATACATACATACACAATAGAGGCCCGGTGCACAGATTTATGTACCAGTGGGGTCCCTCAGCCTGGCCTGTGGGGATTGGGCTGAAACCTGCTCTCTGACCTCCCCTAAGGGGTCTCAGATTGCAAGAGGGCAGTTTTCCGGTGACACACCCAGGAATCAAGTTCCCTCCTCTCTGGTTCCAGGTGTGTCACCTGAGAACCACAGCTGCCAAGTGACT